AAACACAAGCACGCTGTATTTAGGGAATCAAACGCACACAAGGCGGTGGCTAGACCGTAGTCCGCTCCACACTGAGTGCATGGAACCGCTCTTTGAGCATAGCACGGCCACAAGAACCGTGCACCCCGTCTCCTCCAGCAACGACCAACTGTCTCCTGGAGCCAGTATGGACGAGGTAGTGGGTAATAGACAGGTAGGCACCTTGTCAACATACACTTCAAGCGCAACCATACCAGGGATATCAAACAACAGCCATTCACTTTAAACGACAAGCTGAAATAAAATGAATCCTATAATGCATACAGATACGGTGGCATAACTCTTCGCTAAATTACCATATGAAGTAAGTTGGTTAGCAACAAATCCGTGATAAGTAAGAAATGTCCACAAGTTATTTAAAATGCTACAAACGCAACAAGATTACCGAAGATAAGCGCAATTAGTGTAAGCAACGTGGCCAGTAAATAGAACATTATTCAGGGAGGCAGAACAAACCAAATAAAGCGGATTGAAATTTATCCAGCTTAAAAAGACCTAGTTTAAGTGTAAGTTGGTATATACACCCATACACTTACATTCACTGTTATGCCAAACGTGTGCTTTTTGTACATTTTTGATCACACTATGTTAGCTAAACATGATCATGCCTGTAAAAATGTGCCTCGCATTGTCGGGAATAAAAGTTTATTTACTTAACCTATCCGGAAATCAATACTTTTGGAGGCATAAAGCCTATTGTGTTCTTCGGAATATGCAAATAGATAGCTATTAAATAGCTTTCTGATGAGAATGTTGGACAAAAACCTACAAAGTACATACCTCTCTGTTGATACCGATATCATTGGTGTACGCAGAGTACATTGTGACAGTGTAACTCGCAGACTTAATGACTGCTACATCATGCCACGAGCTATCCGAACGGTGCATAGTGGGGCTTCCGAAGGCACTCAATGGCTGCTGATTCGATAGGGCGGTATTAGTAGAGCCGGTAGTGAGTGGTCGCGGCGTTTGGTGACCAGGGGCAGTGACGCTTGTCAGAGCCGCAGCGGGACGTAGGCCGGCATTCGGTACAGAGATAAGTCTGTTTGTATTGGTGGGTGAGGTGGAGACTAAGCCTGTGGTGGAGATGCCGACGGTCGGATGAACAGGAGCGGTTGCCAAATCATCGTCAAGACCGTTCAAAGCGGAAGCTTGTGTCTCCGGCTCGGACATTAACGGGGAGGGTTGTGGATCGAGAGGGCTATAGTCCGGTTTGCTTTTCTCGACGACCTCATCCATCGAAGGTATATCATTTTCATCTGATAAAAACGAAGAAATAGAACAGCAGTAAGAGGTACAAGATGACGATAATGAGTCATTGTTAGACTTGATAGTTTGTTTGAAACATCGGGAGTTTGACCATATTACGCGCTTTCATGATTTACGTCATCTAGAATCGGGTCTGACTTTATAATAGTCAGGGATTAAAGAAGTCTACAACGAAACGAAAAACAATCATTCTATTGTGCAGCAACGTCCGTAGCTTACATAAAATACGTTTTTTGTTTAGATCAAGTTAAAAGAAGCAGTCAAACATGCAGACGTTAGGAAAAAGTGTCATGAGAATGGCTCATGTAAAGTAGGCGCGTTCATCGCATGCACGTTCACGTAATTCAGTGAGCCCAAATGCTAAGTGAAGTAAATCGAATAAATTAAAAATAACCGCGAATGCCACCAGTACCATGGTGCCGAAGCAGAACTTCAGATACATCCCAACGTGTGCCACAACGATCACTATTTACTGGCGCACATTCAACCAAGCACCATATTTAACCGTGCGACTGATATAGGAAGGAAACTTTGTCACGGATGATAAGCGATGTCGACGACCGTTTGGAACACGATCTATAGGCAGATTGTCGACCACCTACATTACGCAATCACAAAACAGGCCGTATGGGATGAGATAAATAACAACGGAAAATATGCCCGTTACTAGCATGAACGGGATTTAAGCAATGATCCATCTCGAGGATTGGAACAACGCAGAGCACAGCGTGGCAACTGACCGGAGAAAAACGCAAGCTCCACTGTCTACCATTAACTGAACCATCCGAGTGGGCTACCGGAGCTGAGGCTCCAGTCCGTATCAGAACGTTCTGACCAGTTAACGTGTGGACCAACCACGTCTACGGAAGCACAAAGCTCTGAGAATGACTTTATTCACTAAATGATATATCCAAAATGTTCCGAAACGACAATTAAGATGATCGCCTAGCACATATGAAAACAGTCGTGCGACAAGTGGGTGGTGCCAATACGCCTCAACACAACGCAGTGAAAAGGTGGATATCCAAGAGGTAAAAGAATTCCGCATCCACACTGCGGCGATTGCGCCAATTTAGACATAAATAGTGCAGTGCGACGAATGACTCATGTTCAAGTTATTAAGTAAGGCAAGAACCTCTTCCTTAGAGTAGGCAACCGACCAGTGTCATCTATCCACGAGAAAAATTTACTAGTAATCTTTTCTCTGCGGGCGTTTCCCGTGCTAACCAGCAAGAGGCGAATACTGACTTTAACAACCATTAAGGATATCGTGTCATCTTTCGTACCTAGGACACCATCCCACATTTCGTCCTCAAACACACACGGTGCGAAATAGGTCAACAGGTAACACGTGCTACAACTTTCTCGTCTCTCGGTGTTTCCCACCTCTAGCTGACTGTATAATGATGATGATGATGACGACGAACTTTATTACTGGTTAGACCCCACATGAAAGCATACAGATGAATCGGAAAAATGGAGCCTGAACCCAACGATATGTTCACCATTGTTTCGGGAAGAAAACAGCGGCTCAACGGTGAATGACAGCTAATACATAAGTGGTACATTTTCTAACAGCGCGAGACAGACTGATTGTACGGTCTGATCATTCTGTAAAACATAATCAGACCGTGCTGAAAAATATTCGGGTTTCTCAAAGTAGTTTTTGAGGTGTTCCATCAATCGAGAGCAATACAAAGATGGACAGTAGGGTGTAAGAATAAATGTAAGTAGAAACCAGCACTTCAAGTAAATAGGGCCACACGTAGAACCGTCTCCTGAGGACGTGCTTCCATGCGGGGTAGAGACCCTCGCGCGATAATTCATCCGCACTTCCACGTCTTATCTGGCCATGAGGTGGTTGATAAACAAGTCGTCATCATGTAGACTCTCTTTTATGGTAAGTTGGTTAGATACCGGTTAGGACAAGGAGGAAGTGCCAAGCTGACAAAAGATTGTTAACCGTCATTGCCACTTTTAAAAGAGTAAAATTTCAGTTTCTAGGCAGCTTACTGATCTACGTGAACGTTGAATAACTAAATGGCAGACTGGGCTACGCCCAGTCAGAGGGGCACTTAAATAAATCGCACGCCTCAGCAGGTGCTCAGACGGTACCATACATACGACCAGTCTACCATGGTGGCCCCTATTGATCTGAAAATGTGTTCGACTGTTGAGAATAACTGTTTCAGGATGTGTCACAAAAACTTTGTTTCTCTTCTAAATCAACACCAGAACAATGAACCAGGCTATGGAAAATGGCCTCTGTTTTCATCACACCAACTGCAGTAAAGCAGGCTACTTAGTCGACAACAAACTATCCGCACCAACCTCTTGGTGCGAAGTACAGTGGCTGTTCAGTCAGGACAAATCGGGAACCCTGAAGTTGGTAAAAATAAAGTGCAAAATATGACAGCTGAAATGCTTAAAATGGAAGGCGAAAGTACTATGGTCGGAAGATAACTGATGAAACATAAAAACGAGAGGAAACCGACGTAAGATGACAATATTAATTTCAGCGAGCACTATGATTGGGTTAGATTGAATCAGTTTGGTAGAGATGGAGCAAGAAGTTACGATATGCGGATCGTGCTCAATATTTAAAAAGTGCACAACAGAGAAGTCGAAAGTCGCCTGGGAAAGCACGAGATAATCAGTGAGTTTAAACCGGTAAGGCATAATACATGCAAAACGGTCGAATTTCGAGCCCTTGAGGTACTTCATGTGGGATAAAAGCGCACTGCAAATGGTTGCTAGCATGCAACTGACCAGGGAGATTATCCCCGCTGCGCCGAGCAGCAGCCAAAGCCAGGGTTTCTAAGGGATCTGTAGCTTCCACATCATCTTCCGTGCATTCAACTGAAACTGAAAGGCAAAGAACTCACGTTAGTCCGCAAGTTAAATCAATGTTAAAAATAAGAAAACTAACGAGAAAAGATAAACTAACCTCGCTCATTCGGACTGACGTCACACTTTGTATCGTCTAGTGGATCCTCTTTTTTCTCCGCTGAGCACTCGCTTTTCATACTGATCTCATCTTCGGATTGTTTTTCAACATCCCCAGCCAGAGGATCGGTTTCTGTGGCATCGTGATATATATCCTCTTCAGGCTCCGATGGCTTATCGGTGGGCAATAATGCGAGTGTAGGGTCGTCACCGACATCGGCTGCAAGAAGTTCCGCCGCAGCTTCAGCCGCCAACGAAGCTGATAATTCCGAACCGGTAGGTATCTCCTGCAGATGTATGCCAACGGATGTGGGATCGAAGAAGTAACGGAAATTAAAGAACTATTTCTACGCGGGGCAAGGAATCAAAGTGCGACACACACTGAAGAAACGTATCGGCAGTGTGCCGACGCTCCGCTACCACGTGATCACAATCGGCGGAACGCAGGCTAGGGATACTGCAATAAACCAAACCAGTAACCATGAGTAACAAGGCTGACGCCTTATTCAATCGCAGACCGATCAACACAGGTTGCCATCATCATCATTAAACCCGTCAGCTGGAGCTGGAAAACACCTCAGCTACTGTGCTGCAACACATAAGAAGAGAAAAATATACAACAGAGACACGCGGGCTGTGCTCTCGGTATTGGATGGACATCGTTCAGGCCCGCACTCCTTCAACATGCATAGTAGCAGCATTCCTGTCTACCTTTGTGGGGAATCATGCGTGCCAGACGTACACAAGGCGGTGGCTGGGTCATAGGCGACTCCACACTAGATGGACTCTCTATGAGGCGGGCACCGTCACGAGGGCGATGCACTGCGCTCCCGGGCAAAGGTTCTTGAAGCTAATAATTTGGATGAAAGATGTCAGGCAGGTAGGCACCTTGTTAGCATTCACGTCAAGCGCAGTCACACCGGGAATATGGTTGGCGGCATCAGGTTCCGGATTTGCCTGTCATTGTGGCTTTCATAGGACGGGCACAGGACGCTTGCGCCTAAAGAGGGAGCATGGGTGGATTACGCTGCACAACCCACACACCCCACATCCAGTGTAAACCTGAAGGAATAAGACCGGGAGGCATGTGGATGGGATCCACGTATCATCAACGGAACCGGCCCACACTCCAACAAAATGCACAGCAACAGCATCCCTGTGTATGTGTGTAGGGAATCATGGGTACCAAACGTAAACAAGGCAGTAGTGCGCTCCACACTGCATAGAACCACTACTTGAGCGTAGCACGGCCAAGATGACCGTGTACCTCGCGCCCCCCAGCAACGATTCAGTCTCGTTGGTACACTGTTGTTACCAATATTGCAAACATCATATCCATAATAGTGGTCAATTCACGAGAAAGCACCTAAACACGCTGAAGGAGCTTAAACGCAACGATGGGGTCATTCTGTGCAAATCAGACGGGTTCCGGGATTGTTACTAGGCAGAAGAGACTATATTGGTAAACGCCAAATTCTGAGCGATGAGACGAAGTTTTCCTGTAACACGACGGAAGCTGGCCAAACGGAACAGGTTGAATGGCAGATCACTAAGAGCCTCCAACAGCTTCGGACCAAGCGGCACATTACCGATGCCTTGTATGACAGCCTTAAAACCTGCGGCACTGACGTTCCGAGGCTTTACGGCTTGCCAAAATCTGTAAGGCCGACATACCGCTTCGTTCTATTCTGTCAATGGTTAATTCCCCCTACCAAGCAATTGCCCAATAACTTGTAGAACGTCTTGAGCCGGTGAAACAACAGCTTGTGACTTACATTCTATGTGACAGTTTCCCGTTCGTCAAGAGCATCAAGGAGGCCGAAATTAATGAGAAAGCGATGCCCACTTTTGATGCCTCACTTTTCGCTAACGTCTTCGCTGATCAGAACCATCGAGTACATTTGCGGGCACATAACGAAGTCAGAAATGAAATTTTGTATACCAGTGCTTGATCTGCAAAGCTTATCGCTGCGGTGCACATGGAATGTGCAATTCCTATTGATTGGTAAAGTTTACCGACAAAAGGACGGCGTAGCCATGGGATCCCCCCTCGATCCATCGTTCGAAAATATATTCATGGCTAAATTAGAGCGAACCGAATGGCAAGAGAAGATGAACACTTGACTGCTATCACCGTTATGATGATATACATTTGTAGTGGTGGATAAATGCATCAATCTGTATAAAGTTCTCGAGCGGTTTAATCGAGCTCACGAAGCAGGACGATTTACCTACGAGGCAGAAACATACAATCCGCTTCCGTATATAGATGTCTTGTTAGCTAGGAGGTCAGACGGCTCCATCCAGCGGCAAGTTTACAGAAAGGATACATGGATTGGTCAGTATACGAATTTTCACAGTCGCCTTGAAACATAAGGGAAACTTAGTCCACTACCTTATCACAAGAGCATGTAGAATTTGCTCACAGAACACCCTGGATGAGGAACTAGCCTCTATAAAAATTACGCTGCGAAAGAATGGCTACCCTGATAGATTTATTGCAAAGAATTTTGATGAAAAATTCAAGCCGGTACCAGTTTTAACCGTGGCAAAGGAGTTATTTATAAGATTATCTTTCAAAGAGGATGCCGCTGCCGAGCGCCTAACCAAAAAGTCTTTCAGCAGCAGTCAAGTCGGCAATCCCAGCAGCCAGGCCAAAGTCTACCTTCTCTACGGAACCACTTGTTTGTTCATGCAAAATGATAACGTCGTCAATGGTTATTTATCCGTACAAGTGCGCCTGTGGCGCTACTTATACGGTCGAACGGCACGGCATTTGTCCAAACGCTGGTTACGTGAAGGAGGAACTGTGGCCATTGGCAGTGCCGTTTTGGCTCATACTGTCGACAATGGGCACCAAGTTAATCTAAAGCGTGCCTTCAGGATAATATACAGGGTCCCCCAGTACCAATGCAGAGATTTGCGCCTCCGTGCACTCGCGACAGATGAATCGTTTTGAATTCGGTTGTGTCAACCTTCTTTATGTTCGCAAAAGAAGTTGATACATGCCCTTCAGCTTCCCTGGCCAACGAGAGGGAACGATGTCGAGGTCGACTGCCACAAATCAAGCTCGGAACCATGCAATCGACCTGTTAGGTCAAAGGTCAACTTTTAGCTTCCCACACTGAACCACAAATGAACTGTGTAATTTGAGTCAATGGGTCGATTTTATTTCTTTCTTTTATCCTTAAATATGATCGTACTAGACTGAAGATATATCAACGAAAACAATTGTTCACTTATGGTCTCGTGTGTTCGAATGCTAAATGGAAATTTCCAAGTTGCTGAAACGAAGTTTCCAACCACCTCCAAAAATGACACGGAAGTATGGGAGTAGTAGTTCTTTTTCAATCCTTCAGGAAGACTTTACACTTTCATGGGGCGAAAATCATCCCGATATGGGAGATAGACACCTCCAACGTACGAGGCATATTTCGGGCGATCTGGGAGGGATTGCACGTTATGTCTATGTCACCCACGTACTCCAAGTCGCGAAGTCGGTCCCACGAAAACAGCTCGACGCCGCTGGGTTCGCAATTGTATAGAGCATTTTCCAGGGTGTCATCCAAATCGAAGTTGAACAGGGTGATGTTGGGCAGCACTGTCCATCACTACCGGTGGTGCTGAAGGTGTCGAAAGTACGCCGCACACCGGCATTTGGCCCAACACACGAGTGCAAACGGTTTGAAGAATGTTAGCATACTTCTAGAGTAGTCCCGTTCCCAACAGATAACTCTAGAGAACAACACAGTCAATTGAATCAAACGCAGCTCGCATATCTAAGAAGTCAACGATTGTCGGCAAGCCGAGCGTTTGACGACGTCTGAGTATCCGTGGGATCGTAAACGTGATCGATACAGCTCCAACCTGACCGGAACCCAGCTTGCTCTTCGAGTATATACCGTACCACGTACACGTACCAGGATGAGCCTCCACCACAGCCCAGCGGCGAGCATTTGGGACGCAACACAAACTGAACTAAGTACTCGACCACAGGCTGATCATGTTTGAACACCTTTTTTAAAGATGAGCACGATTTTCAACAGTCCTAAATCGGACGGAATTGTTTCGGTGACACAAATCTCTCCAGCACAAGCGATGGGCCTTCGCCATGGTAAAGAGCTAAAGGAATTTCGTCCAGGATATGAGCTTTGTGACGCTTCAGGAGATAAAGCTCATAAGCAACCTCAGCATCAGATGATCGTGAGAGTCGACGAAAAAGGGAACACTGTGGATTCTTGAGTGGGAGCGCATTTGTGCTGCAGGCCAGCTAATTTGAAGCTAGAAATATTTGGCCTAACGCACAAGTCTACATTGTTGACAGTAAATTGGCTCTCCATGGGTTCCGCACAAAATTTCGATTATAGCCAGCTTTCTGCAACCAGGGGATCGGATCACCATCAACAGCAGTACATCAGATATTTGAACAGATACTTCGCTGATGCATAGCCATCGTGAACTACGCAACGAAAAATAATAGAAAGAAAAGGGGGACTTACCGGAAAACCGTAATGTCTTGAACAAACATTCGGGGTCAAGGCGCCTACACCTCGTCAACAACATGAGATCACAAACAGCTGTCTATCGTGCAAAGATAAGGCGACATCGGGAAGACAACTTCCTTGTGGCTTTCACTGCCCGGCGTCAGAATCAACCATTACCCTGTAGATAACTCGGCACTAAACACGATTTAAACAGGCAATCCAAATAGGAGATACCAGCAAACGCGCCACTGGTGCCGACTGCGAGCCATGTCTTGTAACGTCTCGATTCAAGCACAAGGCGGGTCACGAGACGAAAAGACGGCACCGGGTACGATTGTCAGTGACTTCATTTCCCGCTGCTACGTTCACATTTGCTTACCTCGAGTCTTGCTCCAACGTATATCTTGTAGAGAAAACAAGGCGTTCCTCGGTAAGCGGTAACCAGGCATAAGTAGCATGTGTCGGAATCAATGCAACTCAAGGGTCTTGGTGGCAAAGTGATCAAAGCTAGGCCCCGAGTTCCACCCCAGCTCAGGCTATCTTCATCTGATGAGTCCAAACCAGGGAGAAACCGATCATGGAGTGTCAGTGTTGGGAGGAGCAACAGCGAAACACCTCCAGTGCAACTTACTCAATCCTATCTGTTGTTCTAATGAATTAGCATGATTATCACTGCATAGTACTTGCCTACACACACCATCGTTGCTGACACGCTGGTGCCATCCAGCACTTGCAATGCTTCGCAGACAGCTGTGATCAAAGACTTGAAGGCGCCTCTGACCGAAGGGGCCAGGTTTCACCACCAAAGGATCATCATAATACACGTTAGCTAGAGGTGGGAAACACCTACTGCGCCGCAAAACATAAGAGAAAAAAAGGAGGAAATGCAACAGGTGCAAGCCAGCTGAGCTACCGGTAACGGATGGGCATCATTCCAGTAAACTACCAGCCGGCTACTAAGCAGCAAAAACATTTACTATGCAAAATCAGCTAAGTCTA